ATAGGTCCGTCAGAGGTGCAGCATTTGGAATTGAAAAGAAACTGAGCTAAATAGGAAATTTTGAATTGAAAGGAAAGATCTGTGGGAATTCTAATTAATTAATTGTGGGAATTTTGGAAAAAAAACTAACTGAACAAAATTTTAAGACGCTACTGTACACAATGTTATATGTTTTTCCATTCGGGGAAAGAATGTGGAGATTCTGGGCATTTGACACACGCGAACATGCTACATACAGCTGACCATGAGAGAAGCACGGTTTTTCTAAGTTAACTCCCGCTACCTGTAACGTTTGCTCTTGCGCTTTATTAATTGTCATTGCAAAACTGAGCTTAATAGGGAACTCCAACCTTTTGAATTGAAAAGGAAGATCTGTGGGAATTATAGGGATCCGTGCTATATTAACATTTTCACTTTTTCCTACGCCTGTCAAAATTGTAGCACCGATTATGTTCCGTCCAAGATGTGTCACACGCAGCCTTGTCCCGTTACATAACCGAGGAGCATCTAAATTTCGCATTAGCATTATTGGGATTAATTAATTTTAATTGAAGCTTATGTGAGGGCACACCTGACAACTCTAGAGAATGTAGAAACTCTGCGGGATATGAAGTGTTCTGTTCTGTGTCCATAACTGTATCTACTGACAAATACTCTGTTATTTCTCCTGCTAGTTCGCTTAATATATCTGAATTTATTTTGTTAACGCTCTCATTTTTTGGTGCAAGAATCGCCCTTTCACATAACCATTTGTCTTCATGCATGTTGTTCGTTAAATCTGAATAAACGCTCGAAATTAATTCGGAATGACTCTGTACTAAATTACAAAAATCTCTCGTCAATTTAACGCAGCCCTCAGCATCCATTTCCAACCGCCCATCGCCAATTTTTAATAGTGTGTCAGAATAGTTTCCAGCATTGATATCATTATACAAATGCACTCTCATATTCGTAGTTAAACTGAATTTTGTCACCTTGTTCCATAAAATAGACGATGCCTCAAGCATGCTTTAATTGCATCTGCAGGTGTGCCCTTTTGAATGACAGGTAAAGTTTGGCGAAAGTCACCAGCCAGTAAAACCACCATTCCCATCCCATCCCATTACATCGGTATTGCTGCGCAAATACTGGAGCGTTCGATTTAGTGCTTCTACAGCTTTTTTATGCGACATTGTACTTTTGTCCCACACTAAAAGTTTGCATTGTCGTAGCATTATACCTCGTGCACTATTTTAGCTAAAGTTGCAGATCGGCGATTCTTCCTGGCTAGATTTAGAGGAAGTTTTAAAACAGAATGTGCAGTGCGGCCCCCGCTTAGCAGCGTGGCGGCTATACCGGAGGAAGCTACGGCCACAGCAATGTTATTGTCTTTCCGTACTTGCGCTAATAATAAATTGAACAAAAATGTCTTCCCAGTTCCTCCAGGGGCATCTAAAAAGAAAAGTGCACCATTTCCAGATTCAATTTGTCCCAGGATGTTTGTGTGAAATTTATGTGAAACAACCCCAGGGTTTACATTGGCGTCGCTAGAAACTGACTCTTGTAAATGTATATAATTCTCAACGCATAGGTTTTTTTTGATTTAAAGATATATAACGGAAACGTTCACTTTCTACCTTCACATGTCTACCAAAAATTGATGAAATAAATGTCTACACCGGGCTAAGAGGTTAAAATCATTTTCTCGCAACATCATATGATACGCATAAAAATCCATACATGATACTTTTTTTTTCGGAGTAGGCTCCTTTGTGACCGGGTTAATGAGTGGAATTTGAAAATGATAACCCTCTTGTCTTTTGCAATAATATACATATACATAATACATAAACACTCACGCCTGTTACCCAGAGGGGTAGGCAGAGACTACAGACTTCCATTTGGCACGATCCTGACACACCTCTCTCGCCTCCTTCACGTCCATAAACCTACGCATACATGCTCGTCGGTTAAGGGTACTCCTAATTTGGCCCGTTTTCAATAAATCGCCAATTTGGTCGCAAAATTTTCGCCTAGGACGTCCCTTTCCGACTCTGCCATTCACTTCTGCAACATAAATTTTCTCTGTCACTCTTTCCTCATTCATTCTTTCCACATGACCAAACTTTTGCAATAAATCGGCTCGGTGTATCGGCTACCCGTTGCAACGTATCATCACGTGCTCGCAAGACAATGTCTCGAGAAGAAAATTGATCACCACTAATTACGGCTGCTATTTCGTTTATCAAAGGTGCATTGTAGCGCCTTTCATGCTCTCCTCGAGGGGTCCGATCTGCGTGAATGATGACTTTATAATCCTCTTCAGGTAGGTTTTCTAAAGCAGTTTTAAATGTTTTGACTAAAATGTTCATGCAAAAATCTTTGAATTTTGAACACTGTGTCGCTCTCACTCCCTGGATAAATTCGCAGCGACGGTCTACCTCAATTTCTTCGTCACCCATAAAATATACTTGTAAAATTTTATGCTGTTCGTTGTCAGCTGGAAAAAGTGAACCTATTCTATGATAAATTTGCCCTTGCACCGTAAATGTAGGCGAACATCCCGACATTATTATTTCCCGGTTAACTCCGAAGGACGTCATTTGAAAGCATGAGTTATATTTCCGGATCTTGTTTAAAAAGCGCCGTGACTCATTAGCATCATATAAAAAGAGAGTTTTCAAAGGTTCTTCTGGTTCCCCAAGTAACGGAAGAGACACTTTGCCATTGGAACAGCACATGCCTGCGGTCTCATCTTTCCATTTTAAAGCGCTGCAAAATCGACACGCCTTGTCCATCAGTCCGATAACAACGAACCTGTTATTTTTATAATCAATCAACGGATCATAATAAAAACCGACCAATTGTTTCTTTTAAAATTTTGTCGACGTTCAGCTTGGAGCTGTGCATTTGCATCTCTTCGCGCCTGTGTCTGTTCTGGTGTTTCAGATGCCCTTATAGTAGATTGACGTTCAGCTTGCTCAATGAGTCTGTGTTGAGTTTCATCAGGTGTTTCCGACGTTCCGCTTGTTCGAATAGACTTTGTTGACTTTGAGCAGGTGTTTCAGTAGCTCTTAAAGTAGCTTGACGCTCTGCCTATTCAAGACGCCTTTGCTGACTTTGATCAGGTGTTTCAGTAGCTCTTAAAGTAGCTTGACGCTCTGCCTATTCAAGATGCCTTTGCTCACTTTGAGCAGGTGTTTCAGTCGCTCTTAAAGTAGCTTGACGCTCTGCCTGTTCAAGACGCCTTTTCTGACTTTGAGAAGGTGTTTTGGAAGCTCTTAAAGCAGCCTGACGCTCTGTCTGTTCAAGACGCCTTTGCTGACGTTGAGCTGGTGTCTCAGATGCTCTAAAAGCAGCCAGACGCTCTGCTTGTTCTTGCCTTCTCAGTTCAGCATCTTCTAAAGATTCTAGCGATCGAGCTAATCTTTTCGCTTGTCTTTGAGAAGATACTCTTGAAAGGCTGGACTTACGTTTGCGACGCATTATGAAGTAACAAAAAAACCTATTTATAAAAAAAACGTTCAAATACATAAAAGAAATTAAATTACCTTTTAAATATTTTTTTAAAAGCGAATCCAAAATATCTAAAACGAATAAATATTCCTTTTAAATATTTTTTTAAAATCAAAACAACAAAACCAATTCAAGACACAACACGAATCCGAAAACGATGGCCAAAAAAAAAATCGAAATAACTTAAACCAAATCACAAAACAAATCGCAGAAAACCGAAATCGAAAGCTATAGTCAATATAAATATAACCAACGAAAAAAGAAGTAAGTGTATATGTACCGTATACACTATCTATACTATTAATATTCCTTTGAAATATTGTAAAACAACCTAAAAGAACGAAAACCGATTCACGATTATAAATAAACAAAATCCAAAAACAAAGCCAGAGTCTAAATATGTATAAAGGAATACCAACCAAATCAACAAAACCGATCCAAGAAAATACACAAATCCGAAAATGAAAGCCAATATATATGTGATATAGAAATTTAATCCATTCAACCTTAACCAAATCACAAAGTAAATAACAAACAACCGAAATCGAAAGCAGGTAGTCGAATAAGCTACGAAATGGAAACAATTTAAGCGTATAGGTACCGTATGCACTATAAGTTGATTCTGACCTTCTGTGTTCGTCCGTCTTATAGAATCACGGTGGCGCCACCTAGCTGAATTTAATTTTGCAACATATTCCATTTTCCCACGGGAATGATACGTTTTTCCGCTGAAAAAAGTAGCCTATGTCACTCTACAGCCACCGAACTATCCCCATACAAAAAATCATGCCATGCCGACGCTCTGTTGCGACGTGAAAGAAGGACAAACAAACAAACAAACACACTTTCGCATTTATAATATTAAGTATGGATATGGATTATTTATTTATTTATTTATGTTAGTATATGAAATATATATTTATGTATATTTATAATTTCCTTTTAAATATTTATTCAGCCGCTGAGCTTTTTCCAAGGATAGTAGAACTGTTTTATTAGCAGCACCCCAAACCGGGATGCAATAAACAAGAAGCGATTGACATAGGGCACTGTATACCATATTTATAATGTGTTTATCAGCTACTTTCCTTAAAGTTTTAAAGATGTATATGAGTTTTCTGATACGAGCAGTAAGTTGTGCAACGTGAGTGCTCCAATTTAGGTTAAAAATTATTATTAGTTTAGGTAAAAAATTAAAGATAGTAATCGTTAAAAAATAAATATGTTCAATCTTAAACTTACACTGCAATCAAATGTAACACACCCAAAATGACAAAAAAATTGCTATCATTTTTCTTTTCAAGAAGAAAACAAACTGACTGCCTCATTGGTCTATTGATGGTATTCGCATGCTCTTCGTGAGGTTCTCACCCAGGTTGAACCAAAGTCTTTCTGTGGTCGTGTCAAATTTGCGTCCTATTGGAATATGTTACACGGTAACTTTAACTCCGTCCTGCGGAGACAGCTCGGCTTCATTTAGGTTGGCCATTAATTTATTTAATTACCTGAAGGAACACATGTGCTTTCCTGGCGAGATATTTGAGGCTGGGTCTTGACGTGTAAAATCCAGTCCAGTATGTTGTAGAATCGCTACCGTATGGTAAATAATCGCCCTGCAAAACCGACATATATTTATTAGACTTATAAATTAAAGCCTCATATTATTGTTCATAATCTGATATGCCATTACATGCCTTAATGGAGCAATTAGTTCATCATCAATATATTTTATTATTAAGAATAAAAAAGAAACCTGCATATTTCTCACGATCTTGAGGAAGCCAACTAACCTGCCAAGCGCTGCAACTACGGCAAATATCTCTCCTTTGAGGCAATATTTGGCCATGTTCGGGAGTGGATCTCATAAATTATTACATGTGTTAAAATTAATTAGCTAAAATCCACGTAATAATGTAAAATGGATATGCCTTAATTAGTTTGAAGTGCACCTCTGCTTGCACGAGCGTGACTCTATTGCGTATGATACGATTTTTTATACTGTTATACATAGAGTTAATATTAAAATAATATCATTTGGTAATTTAAAAGCCCGCTCTTTTTTTATATGCAAAAAAGGTATAGGTATACAAATCTTCAGGCTTCATCGCTAGATGAAATGCTGCTAAACAGTGATGCGCCCTTGAGGTTCATAAATCAGCACACCCAAAATGACAAGTGGCAAGTAAGAGAATCTACTGAAGATATGTGTGTCGTAAGTGGCGATAGAGGGGAAGTGAAACCGTAGAGGGGCAGCAGTATCTACGTGATAACAACTTAAAAATAATTCAAATTTGTAGTTGCCTAGCGTGACAACTATGGAAAATTCCCCAAAAAAGCACTTAATAGGTGAGGCCTATGTTCAGCAGTGGTCTTTTAGCAGGTTATAAAGAATAATAATATCCTCCAGAATCAATTTCGGTCACGACGGCCAGCCTCAACGGAGACTAGCCATCGGCCCAGGACAGGACTATAGTGCCCAGGTGTATGCGTGAAGCACAGGTGCACTCTCTATTCCCTTACTCTCGTAATCCGATGGGACGGTAAACCGACACGACCGGAGAGATATCAGGTACAGGACTAACGACTTTACGTGTTTCCGAGGCACGAGGGTGAGCCTCCGCCAACTTCCTGACTCCGGGCAAATACTGAGAATTTCTCGATGGAATTCAGTAAATGTTTTTTTTTTTTAAAGAGAATGTAAGCGATGCAAAGAATAATTAATTAATGAAAGAAACTAAAGATGTTCCTACCTTCTCCGTGAACACGGATTTGTCTCGCCTACCGTACATGTAGATGGCCTTCAAGTAGCAAGATGGCGACGAGTAAAAAACATTAACGTCGGATAAGTTCGCCGGATGCGTGGTCACGTGGCTGGAAAATATATTATCTATACATATAAATAAAATTGAAATATCTGTTTCTAATACATAAATAACTGGCTTTTATCGAGTTCATGCCTAAATACTCATACGCTGCGTAATTTAAAGATGTCGTTGAATCTCGTGCGTCTACCGTGCGCCGGCCGGGCCAGTCATGCCGGGCTGTTTACGTGTATTCTTTGCACGACCGTGTCTGTGATAGGTGTTTTGTGTCTACTAGTGATTTCGTCAGTCGATAGACTGATGAAATCCATACTGTAATTTTCACAACTTGAATTGATATCAGTATCAGTATGTAATTTTCACAACTTGAATTGATATTGTTTACCAAATAACACGTTCATGTTACAACGTGTAAGCGCCGGGCCCTGGCGGTGCCAATCATGAATCACTTCATACAAAAAATATCTTAAAATATTTGATCGTGTCCCAGCCAGGGCCCGGTCCAATCGTGACACCGTGTAACGTGAATCAACCTTAACTTCTAATCAAAATAACAGTGACACTGGAAGACTTAATGACATCTTGAAATTGAGTACTCGTAGCGTTGAGTATTTGATGATATTGATGACCTTCAGTTAATTAGGGCTAATAATCTTCCGCTCACTAGATTTTTTTACAGGATAGGGTGACAAACTAGCACACAGTGCACCTGATGGTAAGTAGTTGCTGCATCTATCCTCGATTGCAAATCAAAATGCAGATGCGTTGTCACCCGTGAGGACTAAGATGGAATGTCTCGTTTCAAGTAAAGAGGGTCTCCGGTTCTCTACACTCACCATGTGAAACACAGCAGCATTATGCTAGTGATGTTTGACCGTTCTGCGTAGATTGGACTAATGATTAATTAATTAATATTCAAAAACTGAAGGTAGCCGGGCTAGCTATGACATTGGGATGTTAAAGATCTCATTTTTCCTCCCCCCGTTTATCATACGGACTCCTGTTTATCATACAGGTATAATATTCATTTTCACAACGTTTTTAAAGGGTTAACTATAAAAAGTGTCGAGTGAATCATCATCATCAATTGGTATGCGCTAAAATGTAATAAATTGTCGGTTCGGTTAAAATGAAATGTTTTCTGCAGAAAAAAATATCCTTATTGGCTGCTAGATAAGATATGTATGTAACACAGTTAAAAGAACTTTAGAGAGTTATTGGGTTTTGTTAAATAAATAAAATAAAGGTATTCCAAGGCAATGTGCGAAGTACGCTGGCTACGTTTCCTCGTTGAATGGCTATAATTAGCCTTTGAACGAGTAATGACCCATTTAGGTATGATTTAAAGGCAATGAATAAAATGTTGTTTTTGTATGGAATAAGAGTGACAAATGAGTACGCAGACCTTTTTTCGATTAAGAAAATACATATGCGTTGTCACCCCGTACTAAGGATGGAATGCCTTGTTTCTAGTCAAAAGGATATCCGGTTCACTACACTCACGATTTCTTTTAGGCTTGATTTACATTTTGAGAAGTGACAAGTGCGAGTGACAAGTGCAACTGACAAAGACAAGTGCCTATTGTGTGTGAACAGGCAGTGATAAGTGTGACTAAAATACGCACTAAGCACTTGTCACTTGCCTTAGGCCCGGTTTACATTTTGAGAAGTGACAAGTGCAGGTGACAACTGACAAGTGGCAAATGGGAAGTGACAAGTGCGTATTTTATTCCCACTTATCACTTGGCACTGCATGTTCACACGCACTAAGCACTTGTCATATGTCAGTGGCACTTGCAACTCGCACTTATCATTTCTCAAAATGTAAACCGGGCCCGCTGGTATCCTGTGAGAGCATGATCATTCCCCGGTCGAGCTGACCCATTCATGTTACGACCATACCATAGAAGCAGTGTGGCTCTACCACGTAAAAAATGATAGCGATATTATTCCACGTAATTTTAAATTTCGTTTATCAAACGAAAACATATAGGTAAATAAAATTTAAGTTTATTAAAAAGTTTAAAATAAATTTAAATTATCAAATGATTGCCTTATATTGAGCTGAGGGGGTTTATTGGAATGCCATTAGACATGAATAACCATTTTTATAATTTTACCGATTATCTGGCCAGGATAATCTTCGGATTGGCTCAACAGGTTGCAATGAAACTTCACGAATAGATTGTGAGCAATGCCAGGAGTGATTTAGGTTATATTTAATCTGAAATACTTGGAGTAAATGAAAATATGAAAAAAAAACAAATGGTCTTTGAATAGCTTAAATCTAAATGCCACATTTTTTTGTTTATTATATAAAATAACATAAATATAATAGACATGCTAACCCATTTAAGCACCTACAATCACACATATGCATACACACACACACACACACACACAAAACACACCAACATTAGATCATAGGTAATTTTGCTCGGCTTATTATTTTATATTATGAGGAAGAGCAGTGACTCCTGACATAGGTATTCTTTTATACCTATTTAACTCTTTATAACTCAATAAAATAGTATTTAATAAAAAGTTGCTGTTAGGGTAGAATTTGGAAAATAAGAAAACACGCATTCTTTAATTTTCATATTTTTTTTATATTTACCTCACAAAATAAAAATAAAGGGAGTGTGCCATTACGGGTACATTGCTGCAATGTGTTCCACTACGAAGTATGGAACGTTTTAAAACAATAATTTTGTTTGTTGTTGTATAATGCAACTCCACACTTTTCAAAAATGGTCTGTGATTTGCTAGAGCAATTAGGGAGCTTTCAACGGATACGTTTTTCGACCCATACTGGCCAGTGACCTACTTGGTCTTGGCGCACAGCTGCTGGAGGCACGAATTGAGCTGGACCCTTGCGTTTTTTAGCCTAGATGTCTGGTACAATGCTTCGGCGTTGTACGTGTGCTTTTATACCCATCTTACATAGCACCGTACCAATCTTTTCACGAAAGTCAGCAGATGACAGCAGTGTTCCATTCATATTCTTGGTCTTATAAACCCTCTTGTACAGTAACCAGGCATTGGACATGGCAAGGTCCAGGAAATGGTAAAACATTCGAACCTGCCATCTCTTGCTTCGTAGTTTTATTTTATATCTACCCATCGACACCGGCCATGTGGCGGTTGTATTCTCCCACCACGTTTGGTCTATCAATGGTCACTTATCTCTTGTGGGGCTTATTGTATCTAGATACTTGTGACTTGGGTAGTTCACCCACAAAACTGGAGGCAAGTGTGACTATTTTATTGTCCTTCCATGCCACTGTAGAAATATCTGTTCCTTGGACACAGGCAACATACTCGACTGAATAGCTACGTTCTGTTTTGGAGATTTCTTTTTCTGCGGGTAGTTTGCAATCAGGTATTCGGTTGCGTCGAATGGTGCCCAAGCTCAATATTCTTTGTTTAGTGAAATATTCTAGTAGTAGCAGGGATGTGAAGTAGTTGTCAAAATATAGGCGGTAATTTTGATTGCGTGGTATTTCACGAGCTAGCCTGACGACGACATTTGCTGCAGCACCCAGGTTCGGCTCATTGGGCCCAACTACATTTTCAGCTCCAGTTTCTGGCTCGAACTTGTAAGCAAACCCGCTCACGCCGATCAGGACATAGATTTTGTAGCCCCATTTATGGGGTTTCTTACCATTATATCTCTTGAGGTTGTGTCTAGCTTTCGTGGAACAAATCTGTTCATCCACGCTGAGATACTTCTCTGGGGCATTGAGGCAAGTTTCATTTAGTTTCTACACAATTGGCCTGATTTTGTAGAGGCGGTCATGGTATGCGTCAGATCGCGAGGAACTATTTTCGAGTTATCGTTGAAGTGAATAAATCGTCTGATTTTGTCGAATTTATTTACCGGCATTGTGTCTTTTACTAGAGGTATTCCTAAACTACCACTCCAATGTTTCGTCACTCTTGGCAGATGTACAAACGACATAATGAAAACCAGACCAATAAATTGCTGGATATCCGTCTCTGTGACCCGGAATGGCATGTTAGTATGTTTTTTGCACAACGTGAAGGTTAGTTTGGTTGGCTATTTCTACAAAAAGTTCCTTGGAAAATATTTTGAAAAAGAACTGTACCGGACTATCAAGTTCTAGAAACTCTGCTGGCAAGTCTTGGTCACCTGTAAAGCTGAGTTGCTGCTCATTTAGCTGGAGGTTCTTTTTTTCCAACGTAAATTCAGTTTTTGCTTGGCTTGACTGCGTCCTGATGATCCAGGTCTAGATGATGGTCCTGGATGAGGAAAGGTTTCAGAAGGAGTTGGCGGTTGGGAAGTACTACTTGAATACTCAATATTTTCAATGATGGTGTCAATATTCACTCCATCAACCTCTTCAAAATCATCGGTGTATATTGGCATTACCTCCAAATCCGGAACAAAATCAGGATCTGCAATTCTGTCGTCATCACCAATCGATTCCGTCTTCACTTTCTGCATAATCATAGAGGAACTCCTCTATTTGCTCGTCTACTAGACCTCTGGATGCCATCCTGTCGCAATAATAAAAAAGTGCTCAATGTATGACACTACATGTACTTAGTAACACAATGTGCCAGAACTGGCACAAACACAAAACGGCAATTATATTCAAAAATTACATAAAACTATTCAATATCTACAATAAATAGCAAATAACATACACTTACCTAGTAAATTCACACCACAAACAAACAGATTTCACAGTTTAAATAATTTTCATCTATTTTCAAAACTTACTAAACAAACGTATTTTACGAAACGTCAAATTCTTTGATTCAAATTCGTTTGTGTTGAAAAAGCGCCATCTGTGGGGTATGAACAATACTAAACATTGACGCGCGATATGTTCCAGAGCGGGAACACTGGATATTAAGAGGTGAGAGTAAGTCAGCTCAAATTCTAATTTCGCCCCCACTTTCCCGCGCGTCGTATGCTATGTACCGACATGTTTGTAATCACTAATACTCTAAGTAGATAGGTCGTTAGATACTTATTTCATTATGTTTATCATATATATGCCTGTTTCTTAACGCCAACCTAGTCGCTTCTTATTTTTATAACGGTTATTTCCCATTTTAATTTTACGTCTTCCTGTTGCGTAATGTGTTTTCTCATCGTAAGCGACACAACTTCTCCCTTCAAAAAGCCGGAGCAATACTAACTCAGTTTATACAAAGGTACTCTGTGATACTAACGGAGCGACAGGAACCAAGCTTACGCGCCGATAGTTTAGGTAATTTCTTTTTACAGTGAAAATAATGATATTTTAAAAAAAGTAAATAACATAAGCACTGCTTTATGGTTAGTTCAGTTAGTATGCAAAGTTTCATGATCTTATTTAAAGTATTTTATGAATAACAGCGGTTTATTGTTCAGTTTGGAGGTAACTTTGGATTTTTTTCTATCGAGAAAATTTTACGGAATCGTGTTTTCGTCTAACATAAACCTTAACATTAATCCTCAACTTTACCATATATTTATTTCAAAATTAATGCTGCAATACTTTCGGCATAACGGAGGATCTTGCTAAGCCATTTGAGGTTATATTTCCCCTTAACCGAAAAAATAATTTGCTTTTGATTGTATGTGGAGAAATTTGGTATGTTCCAGTACTGTCCCACGGTGATATAAAGGGTTAAGGCTCTAATTACTGTATTATTTAGTATGCCTTGAGAAAGAAATAAATATATTTTCATTTATTTTCATTCATTAATAGATCCTATCATATTATTAAGCTAGGGTTTAATAATCTAATAATTATCTAATACTAAATAATCCTTGTAAACTTACTTTATAAGTTTGTCAATGTTCATGAACCAGTTGGCAGCGCTCTGAAAGGTGAAGTCCCCACCCATGGTCACCATTATGTTGTCATGATCATAATACTTCGCCTGCCTCTCAATTTGTGCTATAAAATCGTTTACCTGTAAAGAGGGTGTAAAATGAGGTCGAATAAATATTAACCTGGAACATCTACTATCCCATATTGTTCCGTGGGTGTCGTAACACAGAGAACTCACAGAAACAAATAAAGATTGGTAGTGTATTCCTTAAAAGACTGTGGTTGTCGCCCCCCTAAAAGGCATTTTTACTATGTCTTTTCTCCACTAAGGACTGGAGGGTAGGAGATGGAATATCTTACAGCAGCTTAATATCTTGAGCTTACCATCCTTATTTATATATGAAGTAGCAAACTTCGTTCAAAGTAACCGTATTTTGTTTAACATACTATCGGACGTAACAGTTCGCATTCGCAGGGATAATAGTAGGTTAGGTGCAGTTGGTTCAAAAACGGCATTGATGCATAAACGTATTTTCTGTCTGGCGCCAATAATATATAATAAAATCCCCGAACACATCAAACAATTGCCTACTAGACTTTTTAAGCTACATCTTAAAAAATATGTGGTAGCCAAATGTTATTACAGCTTGCCTGATTTTCTTAAGTGATTGATTTTTATGCTAAATAATGAATGCGACATTTCTCTAATGCAATTTTACGAGATGCCATTGAAATTGTTGCACATCTAAAATTATGTCCGTAGGATTAGTTAATTTATCTTGTATAATAATTAATACGCACACACGCACACGCACACGAACGCACAGATATAATTTTTGTACGCTATAAATGGCAAAACATGTAGCTCGTTTTTTAACAAGTTTTTTAACACCGTATTTTTTACTCATGTTTTACAAAATAAATATCTTTATTTTTATCATGTAGTTATACTACTATATTTATACCTTACAGACAGGAACACAGGAGTATATTGTTGATACACTGCTATATCACCAAGACGACATCTAGAAAAGGAATCTTATCTAGAAAGTATAGTACAGTCAATTCGTATTGTCAAGAAAACCTTTTTTTATGTATTTATTAAAATAAACATAAAATTTTTATGTATTTATTAAAATTTGCATTCTAAACCATTCAAAAAATAAAAACCTGTTATGGTTCTGATAGGCAATGCATTATTTACTTTTAATCGATGATCATAATTTTGTTTTTATCTGTAATTAGCGTCGTTTTTAATCGAAAGTTTGTTTTTGTGCAGTTTTAATTGCTTGAAACTATTACAATATTAATGAGAAGAAAAACTAACTTGCTTTCAAATTAACGATGGCCTGAATCATAAATGTCTGTTAACCGAAGAGTTAATTACATAATTATGAAATCTGAGAAATATGACTATTGTTATATTAAACGTTTTTAGTTGATAATTGGTTTAGTTGCATAATCTATGGAGTAATCAGTCATTAATTTCAATCGCTAATAATCCATGTCATCTTGATGATTGGCAGTCCACCTCTGTGCGAATTACAAGAAGTTTTCTTCCCCGCACAAATTCTTTGTGGAATTAGCTACCACCAGCGATAGTAGTATCATAAGTTTGGATATATATGTATATGTTGAATTTACTATAGACACAAACACGTGCAAAGAAATACACACACACACACACACACACACACACACACACACACACACACACACACACACACACCACACGCATGTACACGCGCACGCGCATGCATTCACGCACGCACGCACGCACGCACGCTACGCACGCACGCACGCACGCACGCACACACTCACGCACACGACTACTATCCATGCGACATTTTTTTTCTCTACTACCTATTACCTATTTTAATTGCACCACTAATAGGGGAAGACACTGGTTTCTAAAATACAGTTATTATAACTAGTTTAGAAGCCAGGGTTCTATTTAAATTGTTAAAAGATTTGAGGCAAATAAATTATTTATTATTATTATTTATGAAAAAAAAATGTGTCAGTAATTTTCCTTACCCGAGAGTCAGCGTTATAAACGTGGCTGTCTGGATCATCTACGATGGGCTCGTCGCTGCAGAGGAAGTCGAAGCAGAAACCATCCGGCGCGTTGTACAGATTGAACAGGTTGTGGGTCATTATGTCCGACATTTTACCTTAAATCGTTTTAAGACTTATTTTGACGCCGAAAATGATAGTCCAAATTAATGATAAACGTGGTAGAGCCATCCTGTACTGTGCTGTGTATTATAGCTCCAGTATGAAATGGTCGACTCCTTACTTAGTCTAGTGGTCGTGATCATGAGGTGCCAAGTTCGAATCCCGGGCAGTGTGCAGTTTTCCCTCCGTGCCTCGAAAAGCCGTTGGTCTTGCGTAGCATCTCTCTCCGGTTGTGTTGGATTGTTGCCGTGCCATCGGAATCGGACTATGTGAGTGAGAAAATAGAGAGTGCACCCTGTTCTTGCGCATAAAGTCGGGCACTATAATCCTGTCCTGCGCCGACGGCTAATCTTCGTTGAGAATGTCCACCGTGACCAATATTTGGTCTAGAGTACATTATTATTATTATTATGAATAAGTCGGCTCAGTCAAAGGATCATGCTCGCACACTATGCCTATGTAAAACAGCAGCATAATGCTGTTGTGTTTCGTATGGCGAGTGTAGAGAATCAGAGACCCGTTTTACTGGAATCGAGGCATTTCATCTTAGTCCTCAGGGGTGACAATGCATCTGCATTATGATTCTCAATCGAGGTTAAATGTAGATTTCTATAGGCCACAGCATCCACTTACCATCACGTGGACTGTGTGCTCTTTTGTCATCCTAAGTATCAGTTAAAAGTTTATTGAGAAAATTGTTCTTGCATCACTTGTATGATGATGATAATAAAATGACTTGGTAATAACTAAAAAAACGTTACTCCCCACAGTGTCGTGGCGGAAGTTTACATACATAAATTTCACAAGGACAAACATCCAGACTCGGAACAATTATCAGTAGACCATATAAATACTTGTTCGTAGCGGGATTCTAATCCGTGACCTTCAGCGCTGCAACTAAAGCTTAACAGTGGCTCCAAGCTAAGCCACTGCGCCACGGAGCCGTCAATAATTTTTATTTTATTTATAATTTGTCAGGATCTGTTTTTCCATCTTACCGTATAGTGGTGACGGAAGAATATCCACTAATATTATCAGTATCTTCCTGATAAAAGCTGCTCAAAAAATAAAACTGCGGTTGCCAGCTCGCTTGCCAGGTGTGAAAACTATGGCTAATACCCTGTAACGGGAGGCCTATGTTCAGCAGTGGCCTGGAATAGGTCGTAATTTTAATAGTGGTTTTTCCATTTGATTAAAACGTGGATGTTTTAGTGCAAGAGTGAAAAGGCTTTTGTTAAGTTTACATTGTGTGATTATCCATCTTCTGCTATAACATCACTTGCCATGTGCTTTACAAAATTACCAGAATTAAACCAGACTTATATTAAAAAAATTGGATAACTTACCAAGCACGTTACTCCCGCGCCACATGAACTCCATTCTATCTTCTTCTATCATGGCTTCTCTTTCTTTATGGTCTACTCTTCCTGAAAATAGCATTCCAATTATTATTGGTTAAGCCAAAATAAAACCGCTGCCCGTCGTAAATCTCCGTCAAAGTAAGACAAATTTAGGCGATTTTCTAAGCCGAAAAGGTCCCGTATGGTTTAGTGACTATTTATTTGTTCTTTTTCACATTCTTCTCATGACTTCTTATATTAACTGATGAATAATTCCATATCTCAGTCCTCAGGGGGTGACAACGTACCTGTAGCTCTTTTACGTAAATGTCTTCAGGTGTACACGGACTGCTGTTGTCACCTTCCATCAGGTGGTCTTCTTTGGAACTGTTGGACTTCAGGCGGAAGCTCGTTTGATACTTCAGTTTTATAATATATTTTTATATAAAGAATTATGCAGATGACTCTACCATCTTAGACTTAAACTTATTACTTAATTACTAGTCCATACCTATTGTCATTTAGTGGAGGTATAAGAGAGTTCACTACCCCTAACATCCCGTGTGTGTCGTAAGATACAACAGTGGGATACTGAAACAGGAGATGGGCATGGGAACTCTCTGATAAGAACTCAATAAATGGAAAAATATTGCTGTTCTTAATTTACCGAGCGTGGCAACTATGGCAAGAATTCTTCCTATGATGCTATCTAAGGCAGTGATCTACGTTCAGCACAGGACTTTTAATAAGCTGTAATGATGACGATGATGATGAGTATTTACTGGTGGTTACTGTACGCTGTGTTGTAGTGCTGAAAGCATTTAATTTGTTCTTTGTTTTCTTTACTGGATTGAAAACTTCCAGTGAACATTTCGACGTGATAGATCCATGCTACGGCTATATTGTAGTTGTAGCACAAACGGGACTACCCTCTCACTGAATACCAGCGTAAAATAACAGCTTAATACTGCTGTGTTTTGGTAATGGTGAGTGTAGAGATCCGGAGACCCTTTTTAGGGTTCCGTAGTCAACTAGGAACCCTTATAGTTTCACCATGTCTGTCTGTCCGTCTGTCCGTCTTCGCTTAATCTCTGTGACCGTTAGCACTAGAAAGCTGAAATTTGGTACCAATATGTGTATCAATCACACCGACAAAGTGGTAAAATAAAAATTGAAAAAAAAAATGTTTTATTAGGGTAGCCCCCCTATATGTAAAGTGGGAAGTGATTTTTTTTTAATTTCAACCCTAACGTGTGTAATATTGTTGGAAAGGTATTTAAAAATGAATAGGGGTTTACTAAAATCATTTTTTGATTATGTCAATAATTTCGGAAATAATCGCTCCAAAAGTAAAAAACAATGTGTCCCCCCCCCCTCTAACTTTTGAACCATAAGTTTAGAAAATATGAAAAAAACTAAAAAGTAGAACTTTATAAGGACTTTCTAGGAAAATCATTTTGAACTTGGATGGATCAACAGTACACACTACCGGGAGCAGTTGCAGGAGCGCGGAGCGCTGCTGGAGCGCGAACACAGTGGATACCCACCTTTAAACTCATAAGTGGGAACACCTATTGTGACGGACGGGAAACTACGGAACCCTACATTGAGCGTGGCCCGACACGCTCTTGGCCCGTTTTTTTATTTATTCTAAACGAGGCATTCCATCTTACTTCTCAGGGGTGATAATGCATCTGCATTCTGACTCTTAATTGAGGATAGATGTAGATGTTCATGGGCCATAGCATCCACTTACCATCAGGTATGTATTAAATGTTTCATCATTCCTATTCCATACCTATAAACAGTCCATCGTAGCCCATCTGAGCGAGCAACGACGCCTGCTCCCTGGTGTGTCCGTACGTGTCCACCTGCCATGCCGCCTTCGGTTTGCCACAAGGACCTAACGTGTCATTGAGTTTCCTAAGAATAAAACAAATTGAAAACAATATTTTGAGAATGTCATAAATAGTTTATTAGTATGCTGTAGTATTAGAAGCGAGATCCTTTGCTTAAACTTCATAGTTCATGAGCTTTCGAGTTCATTTCAGTTCAGGAATTCAGATCCATACAAGAGAGTAGTATTAGTGTGTACAGTGAACGTATACATATCCGCTAGCTTAGGCCGACGGCTAATACTTACGTATGTTGTCAGGAATGTTGTAAACAATTCTTTAATTAATACTGCCAGAAACCTTCTTTCGACAGTATTTATTGCCAGACACTTTAAATATCAAAAGATAATTATTTATTGTACACCAAAAAATAAACCAAAAAATATAAAAAAATATTAGTGTTTCAATGGGCGGTCTTATCGTTAAAAGCGATTTTATTGTTAACTAGCAACTCGTTATTTAGATTTGAGTATAAAATGGATTGAAATGTAATAATAGGCTGTTTTGAATGTCCCCTGGCAGTTCTTACAAGTTTCCAGAACATTTTAATATTTGCCTGGAAATTATCCGATATTCTTCTATCATTCTTATCCGTTCTTTCTTGCTTTTTTCTTTCAACTACTTCTTTTACTCTCTTATTAAGATGTCGAAAGACTGCCTTTTTTCTTTCAATATCGTCATTCGTACCGCTAGAATTACCAGCCTTTGTTGCTAGTAAATCTAGCCATGCTCTCTTCTTTGCTTCAACTTCCATACGTATCTCATCATCCCACCATAACGTATTATTTTTCCTTTCATTCTTTCTCTTACTAACACCACATAGTTCGGTAGCTGCGTCCACTAAACCTTTCTTTACATTTTGCCATACATTCTCCAAGTCCTTCAGTCCTTCATACATAATTCGTCCAAACCACTTATATTTTCTTTCGTCTACATTTGAACTTGTTTTTCTCACCTTCATCTTGTAATCTTTCTGTTCTAATACGCTGTAACGCAGTGGTAGACACAGATGACCGATGGCGCCAACGCCTGAATAGACCATTAATTCGGCATAAAACCAAATAATGATCCGTTCCTACGTTAGAACCCCGGTAAACCCTTGTATCTACCACTGCGCCCCTCAATCTTTCATCCACAATTACGAAATCTATCATGCTTCTATCGTCACCTCGTTCCCAAGTATACATGTGAATCCTCTTGTGACGAAAGCAAGTGTTCGTCACAAAAAGATTCTTTTCCATACATAGGGTGAGGAGACTTTCACCATTCTCATTTATACTTTCATAACCAAACGTTCCCAATATCCTTTCATAACCAATCTTCCTCACCCCAACCCTTCCATTAAAATCTCCTAGCATAATAATATTTTCATTTCCCTTACACTTCATTAACACCATCCTTACCATTTCCCAAAACTGCTCTCGGAAATAAGTGGGCTTAGACATGTCTGGGGCGTAGACGCCTAACACAAACAACTTCTTTAAGCCCACTTTCATTCGTATCCATAGCAGTCTTGGGCTTACACATTCATACTCTTTCACACATTGGCCCATTCTTTCTGAAAGGATGATACCTACTCCCTGGCATGCCCGCTCGATCTCGTCTACACCAGACCAGTATGCGGTATACATGCCATGTGCAGTGACATCCTTCCCCTTCCTTTTCGTATCATTTACACATAACACATCTATTCCTCTATCATAAATCATATCGCATACTTCATCCATTTTATCATTCATTGCCCCACATATATTGAACGTAGCCAGACGGGCCTCTGCAATCCACTTTTCGCCTCTCCGGGAGATAGAACGTGACGGGTGGCGAACCTCGTCGCCGAATTTATTATTATTATTTATTTAGCAGGGATGGGAGATATGATAAGGATATAGAACGACGAGTGAATGCGGGAAATAGAGTAAATGGGGCCCTACACTCTATTGTGAAGAGTCAAAATGTGTCGAAAAAGGCACGTATGGCAATTCACAATGCTGTGTTGGTCCCTACTTTAACGTATGGTAGTGAAAGTTGGGTGTGGCAGAAGAAGCACGAGAGTAGAATGAACGCAGTAGAAATGCGGTCGTTAAGGAGTATGTTAGGGCTGAATCTGAATGACAGGGTAAGAAATTGTGTAATAAGAGAAGAGTGTGGTTTGCAAGATGATGTTGTGACCAGGATTAAGAAAGGAATGCTTCGGTAGTTTGGTCATGTGGAAAGAATGGATGGAAAATTTATGTTGCAGAAGTGTATGGCAGAGTCGGAAAGGGACGTCCTAGGCGAAAATTTATCGACCAAATTAGCTATTTATTAAAAACGGGCCAAATTAAGAGTACCCTTAACCGACAAGCATGTATGCGTAGGTGTATGGATGTGAAGGAGGCGAGAGAGGTGTGTCAGGATCGTGCCAAATGGAAGTCTGTAGTCTCTGCCTACCCCTCTGGGTGACAGGCGTGAGTGTTTATGTTTTATGAAATGTAATATTATAGAATAGCAATATATATAATAGGAAAATTAATTTTACGCCATTAGGTTTATTTCGCCGACAAAGCTTAACGAATATGTAAGTTGATTAATCAATGCTCCATGGGCATGTAGCTCGAAAAAGCGACAACCGATTGTGATATGAGATATTTCGAGAAAACAGGCAGTCTCGTACTGGTAAGCGAAGTATGAGGCGGTCTCTTACTAGATGACGGAGTGACGACCTAGTATAAAATAAAATACCCCTCCACCGCATACCAGTTAATGGATGCAATTAGTTCGGGACCGTCTTTTGTGACGTCATTTGATCGTCAGTCGAGAGAGGCAGTACAGAAGTACAGACAACTTGTGTATTGCTTGTGAAATTATTTATTAAGAATAAGGGTGACAACGAGCATACAGCACACCTGATGGTAAGTAGATGCTGTGACCCATAGACATCTACACTTATCTCAATTAAGAATCAAGACTACAGATGCGTTGTCACCCCTGAGGACTAAAATGGAACGCCTCGTTTCCAGTAAAAAGGTTCTCCGGCTCTCTCTACTCACCATACAAAACACAGCAGCAAATGACCTGCTATTTTACGCTGGTATTCTGTGTGAGTGTGGTCCTAACCCGGTTGAGCCGACCCATTGGTGCTACAACCATAATATAGCTGGAGAGTGTCTCTACCATATATAAAACTCGTATTTATTTAACCTCAGTCCCCAAGTGAACTGGTCAATTATCTGTAGGTAGTCGGATGTAGCTTCGTCATTCTGCACCCAGCCGCCGCCTGCGAACTCCACCCGGCCTTCCTGCACCAGCGCTCGGAACGTGGCGCGAGTAGCCGGTCGCTGTTCCTTCCACCAGCGCCAGAAGTATACCGTCTCAGAGAACGTAAATCTGAAGGGATGGAAACCGACATGCCAAAGTTATTATAATAAAGTTTAAGAACCAATTTACAAAACCAATATTTTTGCTGTAAGACTATTTTCTATTCCCACAAGTGCGCTTTACAAGTCCACAGGTGGACATGGATTTCGCCTTTATGCAGGGAGAATGAGGGCTCTGCAGCGCATAGGGACGCGGGTTTGAAACCCGCATGGAACAAATATTTGTACGGCTTACAAATAATTGTTCCGGGTGTGCATGGTTGCCGTTGTGCCATTTATGTTTGTAAACTTCAAGATACAATTCTAGTGCGGGTGTAAGGTTATTAATTTAAAAAAAATTGCCATAATCTTCACGATTTTCAAGTGTTTGATGATCGCAGCACCATTGATGCTCCTACCCATCACCGGTCTGGGTATTTAATGTCGACGAAGTCATAAGATTTTTCTGGTGTTTACCCTATGTCACGTCTTATGACACCCACGGGACGAGATGGGGTTAGCTACAGATTAACCATTTTAAATTAATCTATATATGTATATATAAACGAAATTAAAGTTTTTTATCTGTTATATCGAAATAACTGTCTTATATGGAGCTGAGGTCGTTATTTACACTCCATTAAGGCACGAGTAGGAAGCTCAAAGTTGCTCAGTGGATAGGGCTATGCCCGGACCTTCTCTGCGTGATAGACTTAGGAATGAGGATATCTGCTGTAAAACCCGAGTGATCGAGCGGATTAGTAAGCTGAAGTGGTAATGGGCCGAATAGCTCGAAAAACCGATAACCGATGGGGAAAAAAGGTTCTCGAATGGCAGTCTCGTACCAGCAGACGAAGTGTAGGACGACCCCCCACTAGATGGGGTGACGAGTGGACCTGATGGGTGGTCTATGTTTAGCGTTGGTCTTGTGAGGGGCTGTAATAATGATAACGATGAAGACACGAGTAAACATTTACAAATGTTTTGTTTGTCTGTGTTTTTATTTGTCTATCTGGGTGTTTTACTATACCGATTGTAATGAAAATTTTATAACAGACAGAGAGCAGTGTCAGGAGTGATCTATGTTTTATCCGACAAGTTTTGAGATTTGTTATGTAAAAAAAATAAAAAATAGTTAAACAAATGAACATTGAATATATAAATCTAAATAAAGCCACATTAATATTGTGGCCTAAAAGTAAATATAAAAAGAATATTAAAAACCTACCAATTGTGTATATACTTGTATTATTAATCCAAATAAGTATATATTATATGTGCCCGTATATATAGAAAATATGTGCCCATGTGTGTATGTGTATGTGTGTTATCCGTATGTATATATTTATGTATGTATGTGTATATATATCTATGTATATGTATATATATTATAAGTGTGTGTATCTATATAATGTACTTAAGGTAGCCACTGAAAATCAGAGCTAGGATGACACATCTTAGCGTGTGCAGTGGCAGTCCTATTTGGACCATTTGCCATTTTTTTAAAAAAAAAGTTTTTTTTTTAAGTTAGCTGTTTACTATTTTAAGTTTGTGTAAGTGTATAATTAAGTCTACTTATAAGAATACCTAATTATAATGTATGTTTTGAGCATTTATTGCTAATTTTTTAAGAAATGGCCAAATAAATATCTCTTTCTTTCTTTCTTTAATAAATACGACCCAGGAGGGCTAAGCCGCGTGTCTTTAGTGATCAAATGCTACGGTGTTGTGAATTCTTGTGTATATGAAATAAAATTCAATATGTATAAAATATCTTATACAATTTTTTAAATAAACAGAGCCATGATTTTTTTTATTATAGAATAAGGGTGACTTACGAGCACACAGTCTACCTGATGGTCAGTGGATGCTGTGACCCATAGACATCTACATTTATCCTCTATTGAGATTCAAAATGCAAATGCTTTATTACCCCTAAGGACTGAGATGGGATGCCTCGTTTCTAGATAAAAGGGTCTCCGGTTCTCTACACTCACCATACAAAACACAGCGGCATTTAGTTGCTATTTTACGCTGATATGTTGTGAGAGCGTGGTTCCAGTCGAGCCAACACGTTCGTGCTGCAACCACAATATGGCTGCAGCATGGCTCTACCACGTATGGAATATGTATAAAACTGTGTATTAATTAAAACTATGGCTACTGTCGACGGCTGAATCCCAAACCATATAGTGGCGGTGGCGTTACAGACCCTTCTTGACGGGAAGTGAGTGGATCGTTTTGGAATCATTGTCTACGTTCGGAAATTATTTTGTTTCTTGTTTACTCCATATAAATTGATTTTCATATATAAGGCCATGGCACACAACTTAGATGGGGGGCGAAATCGAGAATGTAGCCGATATTCTTTTTATAACATTGGGTGACAAACGAGCACACAGTCCACTTGATGGTAAGTGAAGCTGTGGCCTATTGACGTCCAAATTTATCCATTACTAAGGATGAAAATGCTCACGCGTTATCACCCCTGAGGACTAAGATGGAATGCCTAGTTTCCAGTAAAATGGATCTCCGGTTCCCTACACTCACCACACGAAACACAACAACAGCATTATGGCCCTCCGCGCACCTTATACTAAACGCGCGTAAAGTTAGCGATAAAGGTAATATATTTAATATTTAAGAGTTTTAAAAACAACTGGTTAAAATATTAGTAACTTCTTTAGTCAAACCAAAGATATTTAGTTGATATTGTTATGTATAAGTTAGTTTCTACGAGTTGTATGATTTCTATTCTTTAACTTAAACCAATAACATCAACCTATTCGTAAAAATCATTTGTTATCTCGTTAAGAATAAAATATCAAAATAAACTAGATTGTGAATATATAATTAAATAATGGTCCCACGGCTTCAGCAGTAATCTCCAGTCGCGCGTTGGAGTTGACAAGTATCATTTTTATTTGCACACACAAACGGCCATATTTAATATTTTCCCTTCACCTTTGGCCATGAGGTAGTTGAGGTGTATGAACAAAACAACAAACATAAGTTTAAGTTAAAATGCTTACTTTCTTCGTTTATCGTGGAGAAGTTCTGATAACACTGAGTGATAAATCAATTGAACATTCGCTGTGCTCACAGAAGTTCGAGCTGAAAATGAATTGACGGGAATAATTAATAATATAAGTAACAAACAGGCATCAAAAAATAGATACAAAAATGTTTTTCAATATTTTATGTCTCAACTTTGTAGGCGTCATTAATATCTATAACTATGCAGAATTACAGCTATGTAGCACATAGGATCTCTGAGTAAACCGGACAGACGGACCGGACGGAGTTGGCGAAACTATAAGAGTTCCTTGTTGTTAAAGGGTACACTAGTCGCTTATTCTTCCATACAAACGTAGTCTGACGATTACTCCACTGTTTGATGGTGTACGTTCAAAATAAAAAATGATTTCAATTTGTCTCATCATTATCTAGCCTTTTATGGAAACAAAAAAGTAAAAAAAGAGTATGTTTAAAAGTTATAAGCGTCGAAAATTCAAAATTTCAACGCTAGTTTTAACACATCTTTGGGCGGAAATAAATACCGTAAGAAGAACGAAAATTTCAAAACAGTTACCATATAGGGATAGATTAGTTGTTCAAAAATGCAAATAATTTTATTTTAAACAGATACATTCAATAGATTTTTCATGAAATCCAGACTACCAAAGGTCTGTTTATAAAATTTCGTGCGCTCCTTTTTGTTGTAAATCATCTTGCCTTTCGCTACGAATTGTTTCCCCGATAAACACATGTTCACTAGGTTAGCCGCTGCTATCTATTTATGGTTGTAATACCTACATATCTACATCTTTATTTTTTATTTAGAAAAATTGCTTCCTTTTGTTCGTGTCCACTTGCTGAAGCCGGGATGAATATAGCTGCTAAAATGTGTCCATAAGTTTGTTGAAGCACATTTAGTTAAAATTGAAAACAGATAGGTACATAATAGTGAACTTTCGGTACAGGTAGTACATTAGGTACTTAACTACTTTAATTTGCTAACTAACGAAAACATCTCATAGATAAGCACGATTGTCGAAAATCTTAAAATTATCTATTAATTTAATTAGAATAGGTAATTTTTAGATTTTCGATAATCATGCTTACGTATAGGAATCTCATATCCTAATATACCTAATGTGATTTATGTAAGTACATAAGAATCTAAGAAGGGCAGTCAATGATAAATAAAATTTGCTTTGTAAGTTGTTTTTTTTTAACACTTTAACACAACAAAAACATGAAACTGAGAAGAAGCACCCGATCTGCCGAAACAAACTCAGAGAGGTCAGTCCAGGTATTACATTGGTCATGTAATACGAGAACCAGGCTAATATGGTCCTTTGAAGAAAGAATCATATAGATGTGAGTGGACAAATAAGTACTTTTTAAGATTCCGTACCCGAAGGGTAACCAGCAGGGCTCTATTACGGAGCCTCCGCTGTCCGTATGTCTGTCTGTCAGCGGGCTGCATCTCATGATCCGTAACAGGTAGATGGTTGTAATTTTCACAGAATGTGTATTTCTGTTGCCGCTATAACAGCAAATAGTAAAAATAAATTTGAAATTATAGGATTTTCCAGTAGAAAAAGAAACGTGTATTTTTGGCTTTTTTTGATCGATAGTAATATGTATAGGTATTTAAATCTTGTGAGATGGTACGGAAGCTCGGAAGTCCGATTCGTACTTGGCAAAATATTTGTTTATATTTAACCTTACCTCAGACATACTCATATTTTTATATGTAATTTACTATACTACTATATAAGCTACTAATAAATAAAATAGTACTAGCTTTGCTATGGTATTATAGTATATTTTGGATTAGATTTAATTTATTACAGAATAATACGAACTATATAAAAACTAAGGAGCGCATCAACCTACCTCAGATATTGGGTTATGAATACAGATAAGTACACATAGGATTTAGTTTCTAAGTTGTACATATTTTATAGCCTTCGTTATGAATAGCATAAACAGGCCAAGCCCCCTAGCCTACAAACGTTTCTTAACGAATCTCTTTCTACAATCG